ATCTGGGATACATTCATTTATCTGAGGTATCTTCCAGGTGCATTGACACACAATTATTACCCAGCACTCAGAGGCAGAGCCAGAAGGATCACCACAAATATAAAGCTACATAGCAAGTTCCAGGCCAGCCTAGATTATAGAAAAAAAACCTGTCTCAAAAAATGAAGCAAATTTGCCAGAAGGTGGTGGTGCACACCTTTAATCTTTGAGTTCCAGGCTAGCCTGGTCTACAGAGCAAGTTTCAGGACAGCTAAGTCTACACAGAGAAATCCTGTCTCAAAAAAACAAATAAACAAATAATAAATGAACAAATAGCTGGGTATGGTGGCTCACTTAGGAGGAAGAGGTAGGAGGATTTCTGTGAGTTCAAGGCCAGCCGGGCCCACATAGTGAGTTTCATGACAGCTTGGGCTATACAGAGAGACCTTGTCTCTTCGAAGGAGGAGAAGAAGCAAACAAAATGTTTACTACTGGATATGGTGGCACAAGCCTATAATCTCTTAGCATTTAGCACTTAGCAGGTAGAAATGGGCAAATTAGGAGTTCAAGGCCAGCTAACTTTAATTACAGCCCCCACAGGCACCTGCACACAGACACACATGCAGGCACACATACCCACACATAATTAAAAATAATTTTAAAAATCTTTAAAAATGGGCTGAGAGTGATGGCTCCGTGGTTAAGAGCACTGGCTGCTCTTGTAGAGGACCTGGGTTCAATTCCCAGCACCCACATGGCAGTTCCCATAGTGCTGTTTTTTAGGCATACACCACCACCACATCCCACTCAGCTATCAGAATTGCCTCTCATAACCCTTGCTGAGGGGTTAACTTTGGGCTTTATTACATTTTTAACTTCTTTCTAGTTTGTAGATTTTTGTCCTTCATTTCCTTCTATATACTTTGGGTCTTGTATTATGTTTTGCTAGCTTTGTTTGTTTAGTTTCAGTGCTAGTGATGGGAACCAGGGCCGTGTACATGCTAGACAAGATTCTGACCCACACACCCAGCAGGTTTTTCTAGCTTATTAAGGTAAAAGCTTAGATAATTGATCTTAAGTACTTTTTAAAAAAAGAAGACTAATATATTCATTGAAAGCTAAAAAATTTGCTGAAATATGAGTTTATCTTACAAATTGTGATATGTAAATTTTTTATTCAGCTCCAAATAATTTTTAATCTTTTTATATTTTCTCTTTGACTTTATTTTTGGTTTTGTTTGTTTCTCTCTCTCTCTCTCTCTCTCTTTTCTTCTTTGTTTTTCTTTTTTATTTTTAAGACAATGTCATACTTTGTATCCCTGGCTGACCTGCAACTCATAGACCAGGCTGGCCTGGAATTCACAGAGAGCCACCTCCCTTTGCCTTCTGAGTACTGGGATTAAAGGTGTGAGCCACTGCCATTTGCCTGGGTGTGGCTTCATTTTTGACCTGTAAGTTATTTATTATAGGTCACTGATGTATTTATTCGTTCATATGTTTTGAGGCAGGGTTTCACTCTGTATCCCAGGCTGGCCTGAAACTCCTATCCCCCTGCTTCTACTTCTCAAGTGCTGGGATTACTGGAATCTATCACCATGCCCAGCTCAGTTTGAATTTATTTGCTTGTTTTGAGACCAGTTAGCCTTGAATACTATGCAGATGAAGCGGACCTTGACCCCTGCTTCTCCTGTCCTGTACCTCCCAAAGGTTGAGACTACAGCCTTATACCACCACACCCTACTAAGTTTCTGTCCTGATTTCTACTGTCATTTCCTTGAGGTCAATGGACTCTGTGGTTTCAGTCTTCTGGCGTTTCCTGAGTCTTGCTTCATCACCTAGAAGCATGATTTTGTTTGGTTAGTTGTGTGGCATTTTGTTTCTGTGTTTACCCTGCTTCACAGAAATGGAAGGCTTGTCTCCTATCCACTGTTGCTGCTCAGTCATTGTTGAACCTGTCTGCAGCCACCAGCCTGAACTGAATCTTGTATCTGTACCGGTTACCTGCAATAGACTTGGGTGGGGAAGATGCAAATATATGCTTTTCAAGGTGTCACCAACTTGTCAGTAGAGAGGCTTGGCAGGATGAGAGTGACTGGTTCTCTGTGTCTGAAGGAACAAGTGTAGCTCCCAGGGACTTTCAGCGTCAGCCAGTGAAATAGGTAAAAGTCAATAGTCATCTCATTCCTGAAGTAATAGTTTCTTAAGAGTGTCAATTGGCATTTTTTAATGTAGTCAGACTTCATCTAGTTCACTTTTTAAAAAAATAGCATTGGGTTGGGGAGCGGTGGCACATGCCTTTAATCCTAGCACTAGAGGAGTGGGGACAGAGGCAGGAGGATCTTTGTGAGTTCAAGGCTAGCCTGGTCTTCAGAGCTAGTTCCTGGACAGCAGGGTTGTAAGGAGAAAGCATGTATTGAAAAACAGAACAACAACAAAAAAGTTACGTTGAGGGACTAGAGAAACAGTTCATTAGTTAAGAGCACTGGCTACTCTTGAAAAGGACTCAAGTTTAGCCAGCTGGTGGTGTCACATACTTTTAATCTCAGCACTTGGAGGCAGAGGCAGTCAGGTCTCTGTGAGTTGGAGGTCAACCTGGTCTACAGAGCAAATTCCAGGACAGGCTCCAAAAGCTACAGAGAAACCCTGTCTCAGAAAAGAAAAATAAAGGGACTCAGGTTTGATTCCCAGCACGCACACTGTGAGCCAGTTCTGGGGGATCAGGTGCCCTCCTCTAAACTCTTCGGGCACCGCATGCACACTATGCACACACACATGTCCAGAAAAACACTCACACAATTTTTTTTTAAGTTACATCAGGGACTGGAGAGATGGCTTAGAGTTAAGAGCCTTCTCTCTTATAGAGGACCTGGGTTTGATTCCCAGTATTCACATGGTGATTTGCAACTACCCTAATTCTACTTCCAGGAGATCTGATGCTGTCTTCTGAAATCCATGGGCAGCAGGCACTGCACTCATACATTATATATGTGTGCATATATATGTATACAAATAGTGTTGTGTCGTATGTCTGTAACACGAACATATATATACACACACATAGCATGTATGTGTGTATGTTGTGTCTCATGCCAGCAGCACTTGGAAAATAAGAGTTAAGAGTTAAGCTAGCCTGGACTACATAGCAACACCCTGTCAAAACAATCAAAAACAACAAAAAAGAGATTATTTCTTCTTTAGAACCAGAATTTTTTTTCTCACTTTCCCTTAGTAAAGCTCCATTCATTCTGCTGAAAAGTAAAAATAAAAAATAAGGCTTGGCATGGTGTTACATACGTTTAATCCCAGAGCTCCATAGGCAGAAGCAGGCAGATCTCTGTGAGTTCAAGGCCAGCTTGGTCTATATAATGGATTCCAGGAAAGCCAGAGGTACATAGTGACACTCTGTCTCCAAAACTAAATAAAATAAAATAACTGGGTGTGGTGGTACACACCTTTCATTCCAGCACTGGCAGGCAGAGGCACATGGATCTCTGAGTTCCAGGCTAGCCAGGGCAAATGAGACCCTGTAATCTCAGCAACAAGCCTGTAACAAAACTAAAAAGAAGTTTATTTTTCCATAGACTTTGTGCTCCTGTCCTTCCTTGGTTGTTTGGTTGGGTGTTATCTTTTTTGGCTTTTAGAGGGTTTTTTTTTTTGTGTGTGTGTGTGTGGGGGGGTGGGGACCTGAAACTTGATCTGTAGACCAGGCTGGCCTCAAACTCACAGAGATCTGCCTGCCTCTGCCTCCCAAGTGCTGGGATCAAAGGCATGCCCCACTACTCTTTATGTATATAAAGAAAACTAAGCAGGGGATGAAGAAATGGCTTTTACAGAGGACCCAAGTTTGGTCCCCAGCACCCACATCAGGCAGCTCACAACGCCCTGTAACTCCAGCTCTATGGGCTCTGCCACCCTCTTCTGGGTTCCTCTGACACCGGGTACTTACATGGTACACATACATACATACATACATACATACATACATACAGGCACAACATATACATAAAATAAAATGAAACTAGCCAAAAGCAAGAAGTGCCACAGGTTTGTGATCCCAGCACTCAGGAAGTTTAAAAAAAAAGATGAGGAGCTTGGGGGGTGTGGCTCAGTGTGTTAAGCACAAAGGCTTGGGTTTGAACCTTGGCACCACAGATTCACACAGATACAGTAGCACAAACCTACAATCACAGCACTTGGGAGATAGGGGTAGGAGAATCAGGAGTTCAGTGTCATCCTAAACTACATAGCAAGTTTCAGTTTGAGAGCAGCCTGGGATAAATCATACCTTGTCTCAAAAAGACAAGAAATAAAAACAAAAGCAGCAGGAAAAGTGACATCTGTCAAGGAAGGGAGGCTGGCCAGGACAGTGGGGTAAAGGCCGAGGCTCCTAAATGCCACTGTCCCTGTACCATGGTATCAAAAATGTGGAGATACAAAGGCTATGCAATAGTTTGTTTGTTTATGTATGTTTTTTGAGGCAGGGTCTCACTGTGGGTGGCTGAAACTTGCTTTGTTGACCAGTCTGGCCTCAACCTCACAAAGATCTATCTGCCTGCCTCTACTTCTGAGTGCTGGGATTAAAAGCATGTATCACCATATCCAGACAGTCTGGAAAATGATTTAATTTTATTTTTTTTTCATGTGTTTTGCCTGCATGTATGTGCCTGTACACCACATGTGTGACTCATAGCTTTAGAGGTTTAAAGAGGGCATCAGAGCCCCTGGAACTGGAGTTACAGAGGGTTGTGAACAGCCATGTGGGTGCTGAGAATTGAACCCCAGTCTCCTGGGAAGAGCAGCTATTGTTCTTAACCACTGAGCAATCTCTCTGCCCCAGTCTGAAAGTTTTTGAGGACTTTATTCAGCAATCATGAATTTAGTCAGCAACAAAGACACACACAAGAGCAGAAGGTGTAGCTGTGACTCCTCAGGATCCCTAGTTGGCTGAGGCCTTCTCTTCCGCCCAGAGTTTAAGTAATAGAAGGGCTGTGCCCAGCGATGACCTCTGGCCCTTTCCTTAGCACCTGGCCACATTCATCATGGACAAGAGTGAGGCTATTTCAACAGTGGATGATGCTATCCGGAAGCTGGTGCAGCTGAGCTCCAAGGAGAAGGTCTGGGCCCAGGAAGTGCTGCTGCAGGTGAACGACAAGTCACTGCGTCTTCTGGATGTGGAGTCTCAGGTACCAGTTGGCAACAGCAGGTGCAGGGATTTGATGGGCACTGGCAGGGCCAGATCTGTGTGGCCATGCTGGTCTGTGGAAGGGAATGGAGCCAAGGATGAGTAGGGAAAAAAATGGATCTAGCTGAGACTCTGGGCTACTTTTGGCAACCTAGGCTGGCTTTGATCTGCACCTGCTAAGTTGCTGAGCACCCAGGGCAGCACTGTTCTCTGCAAGAGCCTGGCCATCTATATCCAACCAGACCTGGCTGTGCCCCAGGGGCCTGTGCTCTGGGGTATCCTCATTAGTGTCTAGTCCCTGCCTATGAGCCCTGTTTTGCACCCGTGAGTTACACACGTGTTCCTATCTGTGGAGCATATTCCACATACCATGGCCAGAACTGTCTATGCATGGCTGGGGTGTCATACATGGCATTTCTCTGCTGAATGCATGGTGTTATCTATGCTCATAATGGCAGCCTGCATCCATATCCATGGCCCATCCAGCATGGCTGACCCCTCAAATACCCTCCCACAGGAGGAGCTGGAGAACTTCCCACTGCCCACTGTGCAGCACAGCCAGACAGTGCTAAACCAGCTCCGCTACCCCTCTGTGTTGCTGCTGGTGTGCCAGGACTCGGACCAGAGCAAGCCTGATATTCACTTCTTCCACTGCGATGAGGTGGAGGTAAGGCAGACAGATAGCCAGGCGTGGGCGTGATGCCAGCTTGCCAAGCTGACTTGACACCACTGTGTCCCCAGGCAGAGCTGGTACACGAGGACATTGAGAGTGCCCTGGCTGACCACCGGCTGGGGAAGAAGATGCGGCCACAGACCTTAAAGTAGGGCCCTGCCCTCGGGGTGTGGAAAGTGAGGGGTCTTGCCCTTTTGCTTGGGGCATATAGTATGGATAGTGAGGGCTGCAGGGTGCCAGCACCCAGCAGGAGAGCCATGGCCAGGCTGAGCTGTACCTTCCTCTCCCGTCTAGGGGACACCAGGAAAAGATCCGTCAGCGGCAGTCTATCCTGCCTCCTCCTCAGAGCCCAGCCCCCATTCCCTTCCAGCGACAGCCTGGAGATTCCCCTCAGGCCAAGAACCGGGTAGGCCTGCCAGTGCCAATGCCATTCAGTGAGCCAGGTAGGCTGAGGGGTGGGTGGGGACTCCCCTAGGGGTTTATGGAGAACCCTTCAGCAGCTGCTCTGTCCCCCAGTAGGTTATCGCCGTCGGGAATCCCAGGATGAGGAGCCACGGGCCGTGCTGGCTCAGAGAATAGAAAAGGAAACGGTGGGTGGCCAGCTTTCCAAGACCCCTTTCCATCCTTGCCCGCTTCCCGTTGGCACTGGGCTTGGCCCCTTCTGTTGCCAAAGTGTCCCCAGAGCAGGTGGGGATGACAATGGTTGATCCCTGATCCCCCTTCTAACCTCAGCAAATCCTCAACTGTGCCTTGGATGACATTGAATGGTTTGTGGCTCGGCTGCAGAAGGCAGCTGAGGCCTTCAAGCAATTGAACCAGCGGAAGAAGGGGAAGAAGAAGAACAAGAAGGGGCCGGCAGGTACTGACAGGAATCAGAGGGAAGGGATGGACAACCCAAGACATGGCAAGTCTAACACCAGGCGGGACCCATCAGCCACTCAGTGGGCTCCAAGGCTCACAGCTTTCTACTTTTTGCCAGAGGGTGTCCTCACGCTTCGAGCACGCCCCCCCTCAGAAGGAGAGTTTGTTGACTGTTTCCAAAAAACCAAGCTAGCCATCAACCTGCTGGTGAGTCAGCCCTGCCCTGTGCTGGTAGTAAGGGTGGCTTGTCACACAGGCTCACACATGCACACGCCATCTGTCACCTGCTTGTTCTTCCCACCCCCAGGCAAAGCTACAGAAGCATATCCAAAACCCCAGTGCGGCTGAGCTGGTGCACTTCCTCTTCGGGCCTCTGGATCTGGTGACTAGGGCTGGGGCAGGGTGGGATCAGGAAAAACAGAAGGACACACCATGGGTTTGGGGTGGTGGAAACAAGTGCCCACCTTAGCATATTTAGGCTATTCTAGGTTCCCTCCCTGAGGGCCAGCCTGTAGAGCTGTGGTAGGTGGGTGGTAAGCTGGATTTGGTGGGTTTGGTAGGCTGAGCCCCCCACTGAAATTCACTATGTGTCTAGATTGTCAACACCTGTGGTGGCCCAGACATTGCACGCTCTGTCTCCAGCCCTTTGCTGTCCACTGAAGCTGTGGGCTTCCTGCGTGGCCACCTGGTCCCCAAAGAGATGACACTGTGGGAATCATTGGGGGAGACCTGGATGAGGCCTCGGTATGGAGGAGGGACTAGATATAAACTAAGATGGAGAGCTCTGGTGGGTTGGTTCCAGCAGGGTATGTGATTGACCTTCTGGACTCCCAACCACAGCTCTGAGTGGCCCCGGGAGCCACAGGTACCGCTTTATGTACCTAAGTTCCACAGCGGCTGGGAACCACCTCTGGATGTCCTACAAGAAGCTCCCTGGGAAGTAGAGGGACTAGCATCTGTGCCCAGCGATCAGGTCAGACCTCCAGCCCAGCCTCAGCCCAGCCCATGTCCACCCCTCCCCAGAGCTCACCTCTCTGGCCCACCTAGGCTACCGCCTTCAAGGCCCCTAAAGCAACAGTACAGTCTACCCTGCAATGCCAGGCCACTTTGGCTCACCTAGGTATTTGACCCTTTGTCCTAGGTCACAATTAGGTCACAACACATTCACTAAGTGTCTCCCCTGTGTCCCTTGTCCTGAGGCTCATCATGGTCCCTCTAGCCCAGTCTGCATCCCACATCAAGCCCAAGCTCCCTGTTTTCCCCACAGCTGACCCCCAAGAGCCGACTATCCATACGAAACTCCCCGAAGCACAGCCTCTCTTCTGAGTCCTCAGCCCCAGAAGACATTGTACCACCAGGCAGCTCCCCACATACTAACAGGTAAGTCCTACAGAGTGAGAGCCACATGCGGTGGCAAGTGTGGCAAATGCCTTGTTCTCATGTAAAATAGTTATTTTCCAAATAAGAATCCAATGTTATTCTTTTTATATATAATTTTAACGTATTCTGATCATGATTTCCCCTCCCCTAATTCTTCTCAGATCCTCCCCATGCACCCAAATCCATAACCTTATTTCTCTCTCTTGTAACAACAACAACAAACACAAACAAACCAGAGTAGGACAAAGCAAAGAAATGGGCAGGAAAAAGAAAAGGCACAAGAAGAAACATACAGACACAGAAACACACAAACTCACACACACAGAAATCCCATAAAAACACAAAATCGGAAACCATAATACATAAGCAAAAGACTTGTAAGGTTAAAAAAGCAAACAAAAAACAGGCAAAGCCTTACATAACAAAACCCCTCCAAAACTACCACTGAGTTTGTTTTGTGTTAGCCACCAATTTTCTTCTTAACTTTGTAACATACAATTGAAGAAAAAAAATTCAAGTTAAATATACTTTTACAACATTAATACACATCAGTTCTTTCTTGTTTTACAATCAAGGTTAGAAAGGGATAGAGGCTGGGTGTGTTGATGTATACCTTTAGTCCCAGCACTCGAAAAGCAGAAGCAGGCAGATTTCTGAGTCTACATAGTGAGCTCCAGGCCAGCCAAGGCTACTTTATGAGACCCTGTCTCAAAAAACAAATAGCAAAAAAGCCAGGTGTGATGACTGTTCCTGATATTTGGCAGACTGAAGCAAGAGAATTGCTCAGACTCCAAGGCCTGTCCTTTCCTCCCCTAAATACAGACCAGGCATGATGGTGCACACCTTTAGTCACAGCACTCAGAGGCAGAGGTAGGTAGTGGGACTCTCTGTGAGTCCCAGGCAGCCAATGGCTGCATAGTGAGACTTTCTGTCTCAAACAAATTAATTAGAATCAAGGTTAGAAACTTACTGGACCAAAAAAGAAACGAAACAAACAAATGTACTGAATACCAGCAGCTCTACCAAGCACTGGCACTGTGGTGCTGCTGGGATGAGATCAGGGGTCCCAGGCTGGCCCCTCCATGCTGTGCAACCTACATCTCACAGTGAATAAAACACAAGCCCAAGAAATGGGGATGCCCCTCCTGTTTCTCCCTCCTCTGCTTCATTCTCCTATCCAGGGTCTACCTGGTGATCGATCCTAGGGCTCCCTTTCAAGGGCTAGACACAAAAATTTCCAGCAAGCAAGCCCCTTTCCTTGGCCTTCTTTAACTTGGTACCCAGTGTCCCTACTAGGACCACATTTAAAGATCATTCTCAGCCTGTCAGTACACAGGGCACACACCTAGACCCCCATTCCTCCTCCCTCTCCAGTGCTCCTGAATAGGGCATTGCCCTGTATCAGGGCCATACTAACCAGGAATGTTACCTGGTTTGGGGGGTAAACTAATAGCCAGAGTTCACACCTGCTCCAGGAATGCTGAGGGGCTTCCAGGGGACACATAGTTAGTTGCCTCTAAGAGGCTATGACTCTGAAAATATCCTTTAGTCTTGTGGTTAGCTGGGAAAGTATGACCCTGTTACTCCCCAGGCACACCTCTGGCTCTGAGGAGCAGGGCAAGAGACTCCCTGAGACAGTTTGGGCTGGGCCAGCCTCTTGGAGTCTGTTCTGCCCCCTCCTGCCTGCTGGGGTGTCACAGTTTCCATTCCCAGCTGATGAGCACAGCCTCTCTCCACTGCAACCTGGGCAGCAGAGCGAGAGGCAGCTCAGCTGGAAAGCAGGAAGAGACCCCAGTCCAGCCCTGGGCTTCAACCCTTCTGGTCCTGCAGGGGCTACCAGCCGACACCACCCATGGCCAAATATGTGAAGATCCTCTATGACTTCACAGCACACAACGCCAATGAGCTGTCCGTGCTCAAGGATGAGGTCCTGGAGGTGAGGACTTGGGCTACTCTCCAGGGGAAGTGGGGTGTGTGCTGGGGCCAGGTTGTATAATCCACCCATCTTCCCAGGGTGCTTGGCCTGGGCCCACAGGGGCCTCTCTGACCCCCACCACAGTCTGTCTGAGCCACTAAACTGCCTTCTGATGTCTGGGGAATCCATGAAGGTCTACAATGGTGGGTGGCCTTGCAATAAAAGCCAGCAGGGTCTTGTCACTCATGCCTACCCAGGACCACTACCCTAGACCAGCTTCTTTGTGCCAAACCTGAATCCAGGCCAACCACTGAGGGACAGAAAGTGGAGCAGGATGAGGGAAGATCTACATTCAGAATCAGGTTAAGAGGCACCCTATCCCCAGGACTGGGGAGGCCAGGCAGGCAATGGGTAGCCCACTAGGCCAAGACGGTGCCCAGAGGATGGAGAGATGGGCTTGAGGAGACACCTGGAGGACTCTGCCCCTCTGTAAAGGGTTTGGCCAGTGGTCCCAGCCTCTGACCCTGGAGGTCTGTGCAAGGGTGTTGGTGGGTGTCACAGTCATTTTGATACCTTGGCAGGTGCTGGAGGATGACCGGCAGTGGTGGAAGCTTCGAAATCGCAGTGGCCAGGCTGGCTATGTGCCTTGTAACATCCTGACTGAGGCTCGGCTGGAGGACATGGGTGCCTCCTTGGAACAGGTGATCTCCTGTCATGGCTCCATTCTGTCTGCAATACAGCCAGAGCCCCTAAGGTCAGGTGCTCTGGTCTCAATGTGACATCTGAACCTGAGCCCTGGAAACCTGCTAACCTGCTGCCCCCAAGCTGGGCCCAGGGCTGGTGTGGGCTCCTGGGGCCTGACTCAGGGAAGGAAGGGCTGGCCCACACACCTGGGGTCTTGGGTTAGCCCTAATAGCCCCTCACCTTACCCCTCACTTCTTCCCCACCCTTTGCAGTCTGGCCAGAAATATTGGGGTCCTACCAGCCCCACCCACAAAGTGCCCCCAATTTTCGCAGGGAACAAGGAAGGTAAGTAGAACCATTTTGGGGTCAGTGCAGGGGTTGTGGAGAGGTGAGAATATCTGGAGGGACTGAGAGCATGTGCCCCATAGAGCTAATCCAACAAATGGACGAAGTCAACGAGGAACTCATAAAAAAGATCACCCACAACAAGGGACAGCCGCAGCGCCACTTCCGCGTGGAGCGCAGCCAGCCGGTGCACCTGCCGCTCACCTTCCAGTCAGAGCCTGAGGAAGTCCGTGCCTGGCTGGCAGCCAAGGGCTTCAGCAGCAGGTGAGCCCGGTATACACAGCCAGCCGGGCAGGGCCAGGATACTACCAGACCCTCGGCCCTGCCCTCATACCCCCCTGCCCCTAGGATTGTGGAGAACCTGGGAGTCTTGAATGGGCCCCAGCTCTTCTCCCTCAACAAGGAGGAGCTGAAGAAGGTGTGTGGAGAAGAGGGCAGCCGTGTGTACAGCCAGCTCATGGTTCAGAGGGCCTTCCTGGAGGTGAGCAGCTCTAGCCTCCTCATTTCCTTCTTCGGTCACTGGGGTCACAGCCCTGACCTATACACCCTATCCCCCCACCTCCCCGCTGAGGTGCAAAATCTCTTTCCTAAAAACAGCAAAGTGAGTCGGAGCTGGAGGAGCTTATGAACAAGATTCATCCCAAGAACCAGAAGAGGGCAGAGGACAGCTAGACCAACCTGCACACTTCACCAGAGGCAGAGGGGAGGCTGCATCTGTAGCAGGCCCAACCCTAATGCATGGAGTATTATTTTTATATGTGTATTATTTTATACCAAGGACACGGATGGGCTGAGTGTAGCTGGCTCACCTGCCTCCAGGCAGGGTCCTGTGCATGGGCCCAGCTACACCTGTGGGTGGCTCCTTTGCCACCACAACCCCAGCCCCAACCCATACTCTCCTCTCCAAACCAAGGCCAGCCTCAGCCAAACCTGTACCTGGCAGTGCCAGTCCCCCCTCAACCTGCTGCCAAGGCCCCAAGACTCTCCAGGTGGGCAAGGCCTCTTTCCTGGCCTTCCCTATGCACACTGGGGCTCCTGTCCCATGATTCTGGGCCCAACTCCACACCTCTCCCTTGTGTTACTGGCTTCAACATTCTCGTGCCCCTGCATCCACTGTGCACCACCTGCAGGATGGGCCTGAACTCCCGGCCGGCCAGCTTGATGACCTTGCCCACTCCCTTCACACTGCACCCCAAGAACCACCTGGTCAGGGGCTCCAGGGCAGGAGGCTTTGGGTGCCCTGCTGGTGTAGAGTATGCTGTATTCTTTATTCTTTCAAGATGTAAGAATGGACTAGACGTAGGTACTGACTTCAGATGTCCCATCCCACCTAAAGAGCCTGGGTCAACAGTTGTTTCTGGCTGTTTCCACCAGCCTCTGTGCTGGTGGCTGGTGAGGTTCCCAGCGCTGGATGAAGCCTCAGACCCAGAGATGAGAGTGGGGACTCCACAGCTATATCAATAAACCAGTTGTCTCCTAGCAACTCACATGTCTGTCTCTTGGGGTAGCAGTGCTCTGACCCCAGGCCTCACACTGCCTCTCCTTCCTCCTCCTCTTCTGAGATAGTGCATTGGCCTTGAACGCTGAGTCACCCTGCCACAGCCTCCTGTGATGGGCTTCCATGTGTATATCACCAAGCCTGGCATGGCCCTTCAGAGCCCTGTCTCGAAGAGAGTAGTCCACCCACAGGTGGCGCTGTAGCCAAGCCAGGGTGCACCTCTCACCTCCACACTCACCCAAAATGGCCCTAAGGGTGTTTCTGAGAGAGACTCCAGAGGGTATCTAGATGGCCCAAAGTCTTCCAATCAGCTGGCTTTCAAGGAGCCTGTTCTGAACAGAAGCAACATCCAACACACCTGGGAGCGAGCACAAGCCAGAGGGGAAGTAGAGGCACAATTCAGAGAACTTTGCTCCAAGATGAAGGAGGTGCCAAAAGGAGGGCTTGGCCCTGAAAGACCCCACTGGCAAGTTAGTGGGGACATCAGGCTACTCCCGTGTTTGCTCTTTAAGGGCACCTGCCTGACTGGCCAGGGACCAGCCTTTGGAGCAGGCTTTTGGTGCCATCTGCTGGCAGCTGTTTATGCATCTTTGGGTGACTGCTGGGTACCTGGCACCTGGTGTGGGGATTGTTCTGTGTTCCAATACTGCAGGTGAACCAAACCCTAACCAGGGTCATCTGAGTCCTCAGTGCACTGTGCAGAGACTGAGCTGTGGAGACTGTTCTTCAGCTAGTCCACCACCCAGCCGGGCTTGGCCGCTCAGCTCAGACACGCTCACAACCATGCTTTCCAACAGTCTTGCCTTCAAGTTGGTTGGTGCCACCCTTGGGGGTCTCCAGATCCTGTATCTACCTCCTCAGCTAGCCCTATTTCCCCATCCCTAAGGCACCTCTCCTCCTCCGCCATTTAATGCTGCTTCTGGATAGCTGAAGAGGCCCAGACCTCTAAAGCAGCCTCCTGCCCCAGAAGCTGCCAGCTCCTCACTCCCATGTGCTCTGGCCCCAACTAGACAGCCTGCTCAAGCCTCTGGGTTCAAGTGCAACCTTCCTAATTGTAACATACCCTGATCCCTATCCAACAAGTCAGCAGGGGAGAAGGAAGGTTGGTACTCCCTGTGGGATCCCAGCTGAAGATGGCAATAGGTTGGGGAATGAACTTAAGACTCCCAAAGCCAGCCTGAACGTGGAGGTGCATGCCTTTGATCCCAACATTCGGGAGGCAGAGGCAGGTGGATCTCTGTGAGTTTGAGGGCAGCCTCCAGAACTACACAGAAACCCTGTCTCTACAAAAAAAAAAAAAAAAAAAAAAAAAAGACCCAGGGACAGTTTGTTTCTGAGCTACTCAGCCAATAAGCTGTCTGTATGAGGCTGCTGGTAGCTACTGCTCTGTGCCTAGCTCCACCACCAGCACGTATTTCCAAAAACAAGGCCTGTGTCTGTCCAGGGACAAGCATGTCTTTGTGATCTACCAACCCCCAACCACCCACAGCAGGCCATGGATGCCTGTGGCCACTGAAGCCATTCAAGACACCGGGCTTCCCACACCACTCAGAAAGGGCTTTTCTCTTCTTTCTTAGAAAATGAATTATAAAATAGTTACCTCCTCTCCAGGGCTATTACACAAGGCTATCTAAAAAAAAAAAAAAAGTTGCCTTTGCCTTCTCAAGATATATATTTGGGGAAATGCCACAGAAAGTGAGATGCCCTTCATGAGCCAGCACACAATGTATATGTCACCTGAGGACAGTGATGCTTAGCCAAAGTGACACTACAGGCACTATAAGTAAGCTGTACAGCTCTGAACAAAAATAGAGTCCTTTACTAGGCATGGTGACACACACCTGTAATTTTAGCACGTGGCATGCTGAAGCAAAAGGTTTACCATGAATTTGAGGCCAGCAAGGGCTTGTAGTGATACCCTGCCTCAAAAACCAACCTTAAACCAGGGGCTGGAGAGATGGCTCAGAAGTTAAGAACACTGGCTACTCTTCCAGAGGACCCAGGTACTATTCCCAGCATCCATGTGGCAGCTCACAATTGTCTATAACTCCAGTCCCAGGGGTTCCTGCACACTCACACAGATGCACATGCAGGCAAAACACCAACACACATGAAATAAAATGAAAATCTTTAAAAACAACCAAAACATAAACTTTTGTTAATCACCATTCCTTCAAGTGCTATCAAGAGACAGATTACCCACTGAGTGGCCTGGAATGCACACTTCGCTGTGGCTGGTATTTTGGGAACATATCTGCTTAAAGAGTTTCTTCAGGGTTTAAAGGAATGGGAAGTAGTGGAGGTGGAGAAGGGTGAAGTCTAGTTCAAGGAAGATTTTTGTTTGCTTGGTCAGGACTAAGCATATAGGAAGCACAATTTGTTCATGTACAATGGGCACATAAATAAAGTGAGTTTCAAAACTCAGGGAGCCCTGCTTAGCTATTCACCTACAGGTCCTCAACAAGAACATTCGGAGGGGCTGGAGAGATGGCTCAGTGGTTGAGAGCATTGGCTGTTCTTCCAGAGGATCCAGGTTCAGTTTCCAGCACCCACATGGCAGCTCACAACTGCCTCAAAAACAAAAACGAGCAACTTCCTATAACTTCCCAAAGTTTTTGAAACCATCTTCCTGCTATGAGTGCAACATAGGTGTGTGTGTGTGTGTGTGTGTGTGTGAAGCTCACATGTGGAAGCAGAGGTCATTGATTTCTTCTATCTTACATTTGTGGCAATGGCACTGGAGATTGAACCTAGGCCCTTGTGCACACTAAGTGACTACTTAGCCTTTTTTTGTCAAGTTGACCACAGCTAGAGTCATTTGGGAAGATAAAACCTCAATTGAGAAAGTGCTCCACCAGGTTGGCCTGTAGGCAATCTTGTAAGACACTTCCTTTCTTCCCTTTTCTTTCCTTCCCTTTCCTTTCCTTTCTTTCTTTTCTTTCTTCCTTCTTCTTCTTTTTTAATTTTCTTCGGGGAGGGCTGGTTTTTTGAGACCGTTTCTCTGTGTAATGTCTGGCTATCCTAGAACTCGCTCTATAGACCAGGTTGGCCTTGAATTCACAGATATCTGCCGGCCTCTGCCTCTCTAGTACGGATAAAAATGTCCCACCACTGATGGGATTTTTTTTTCTTTTTTATATTTAACTTCTTTCTTTTAACTCTTTGGGAGTTTCACATCATGCACCCCAATTCTCACCTCCTACTCTCCCATACCCTACCCTTATCCTGCCCCCAATTGGAAACATATCAAAGTAAGCAAGCAAGCAAACAAAAGCAAAACAACAAAAACCCAAAACCAAAGCAAAACAAAAACTATAATAGATAAATCTCTTTGCTTTTCCTTTCCTACTTCTCCAACACTTCTTCATTAGTCCTTGTGGTAATGGAGGCTTCAGTGTGATGTACAAATATACCTTTGTCCCATCAGTCTTACTGGCAAATGTTCAATTGCAATGAGTCATTGATCTGGTTCAAGGACTCTGGTTTCTGGTATACCACCATTACTGAATCCTCAGCTGAATTTCTCTGGGATATCCTGTGACCTGTGCTGCCACCTGGGGCCATGGTGTCTTCTGGATGTCCTATAGCAGCCAGGATCCAGATTGACTTATGTGGCTCCTGTTGCCACCATGAACCATGAGGATGCCCTGGGTCAGATCAGCCACCTGAGTCCAGGTTGGTGTCCAAGGGCCAGGATGCATCCAGATCTAAGTGACCTACACTGCTACTCAATGCCATGGTGACATCTGGGCCAGAGCTGCAGCTGAGAGCCATGTCAGGGTCCATGGCCCTACTGCAGCCAGGGTCTCTGCTGATGTCTGATGCACCCGTTACCATGGAATGTCATACGGACACCTGAGAGAGACAAAGGCTATGTTAGTGTCTTAGGGTCATACTGCTAGTGGGGCCGTGGTGACATCCAGACCCAGCTGCTGTGGAGGACCATACTTCCTGCCATGAAGCTAATGGACTAAACTTCTGAAACTGTAAGCCAGCCCCAATTACATTTTTTCCTTTATAAGAGTTGTTGTGGCAGGGTATGGTGGTCCACGCCTTTAATACCAACACTTAGGAGGCAGAGCAGGTAGATTTCTGTAAATTCAAGGCCAGCCTGGATTGCAGAGCTAGTTCTAGGACAGCCAGAGCTGTTACACAGAGAAATCCTATCTGGAAAAACTAAAAACAACAAAAGACACTTAGCTACCCTGATCATGGATCATAACCTGGAAGCCAATTTCGCCCTCTCCTATTGAAGTTGCTTTTGGTCATGATGTTTTATCACAGCAGTTAGAAACCCAAGGCATGGGCTGGGAAGATGGCTCAGCAGTTAAGATAAGAGCTTTGGCGGCTCTTCCTAGAGGTCCTGAGTTCAGTTCACAGAAAACACATGGTGACTCACTAGCATCTGTAATGAGATCTGGCACCCTCTTCTGGCCTGCAGGCAAATATGCAGACATAATACTGTATACATAATAAATAAATAAAAATATTAAAAAAAAATAAACCTAACACACTAATTCAGAACTCTCCCCAGACCTCTTTTCTTTTCTTTTGAGTTTGGATCTCTCACTAAAACTCATTTTGTTGGCTATTGGATAGGCAATGAGCCCTTGGGGTCCACTTACCTTGGGATCCACCATCCCCTTCCTGGACTTACAGGTAAGCCCTGGTTACAGATGCCTCCTCCGTTCTGTTTTGGTTTGGTGTTTTGAAACAGGGTTTCTCTGTGTATCTCTGACTGTCCTGGAACTCACTTTGTAGACCAGGCTGGCCTTGAATTCACAGAAATCTGCTTGCTTCTGCCTCCAGAGTGCTGGAGTTAAAGGCATGCGCCACCATGCCTGGCTGCTGCCTCGCCAGGTTTTTACATGGATGCTAAGGATCAGAACTTGGGTCCTCATGGATTTTGTGAATTCTGCAGCTCAAACCCAAGTCATCCTGCATGCTAAGCAGGCACTCTACCAACTGAGCTACATCCTCAGCCC